ACCTTGAGGTGTATCAACTGGTTACCATGACTGTCAATAGATCTATAGGTCCAAATAAATAAATAGCATAACCTTGAGGTATATCAACTGGTTACCATGACTGTCAATAGATCTATAGGTCCAAATAAATAAATAGCATAACCTTGAGGTATATCAACTGGTTACCATGACTGTCAATACATCTATGGGCCCAAATAAACAAATAGCATAACCTTGAGGTATATCAACTGGTTACCATGACTGTCAATACATCTATGGGTCCAAATAAATAAATAGCATAACCTTGAGGTATATCAACTGGTTACCATGACTGTCAATACATCTATGGGCTCAAATAAACAAATAGCATAACCTTGAGGTATATCAACTGGTTACCATGACTGTCAATACATCTATGGGCCCAAATAAACAAATAGCATAACCTTGAGGTATATCAACTGGTTACCATGACTGTCAATAAATCTATGAGTCCAGTTGTTTGTATCTTGTAAAGATATTAGATACATTATAAAGATGAAGGTGAAATCCCATTATTTGGTCAGCCAAAAGTAGCCCAAGAGATGGTGGTGGGCGCTGTTTACTGGATGTTTTTCTCTAGTCTATCAGTTGAAAATTATGGTTTGGTTTTATTTGAATTTCGCGCAAAGCTACACGAGGGCTATCTGTGCCAGTCGTCCCTATTTTAATAGTGAAAGACTAGAGAGAGAGAAGGTAGTTTGTCATCATCACCCACCGCCTACTCTTGGGCTACTCTTTTATGAACGAATAGTGCGATTGACCGTCACATTATAATGCCCCCACGGCTGAAATGGCGAGCACCTTTGGTGGAACATGGATTCGAACCCGGAGTTTATGAGTCGTGCGCCCTAACCAATGACCATGCCAGGCCTCAGAATTATGGACGGTGAGCGCAGACAGATAAAGATCCATTGAGCAACTTCGCGTGAATATCAGAAAACAAACAGAACTAAAACTGAACAGAAACTTCTGTCAGGACTTAGTAATTTAAATGTGTTTGGCTAACACTAAATAACCTGCCACAGTAGTGCCCAAAATATTTACGTGACCTGACCCATTATCGTGTTTTCTGCTTTACTGTTGATTTTTTTTCCAACTTATAAAAGAAGATGTTTGTACAAACAAACATTTGTGTAGTTTGCACAATCTACACAATGGGTGAGCTATATGTGATGTGCCTACTATGGGTATCGAAACCCGGTTTTTAGCGTTATAATCTTTCAGACTACTGCTGAGCCATAAGGGGCTAAAAAATTAAAGGTTTTACTACAGTATGTTTGTTTAGTAAATGAATATTCAATATCTGAAACCTAAAATCAAATAATAATATCCATAAAACGTTGTACTCTTGTGTACATGCCTAATAATATCCATAAAACGTTGTACACTTGTCTATGCACTTAATAATATCCATAAAACGTTGTACACTTGTCTACACGCCTAATAATATCCATAAACCGTTGTACACTTATCTACATGCCTAATAATATCCATAAAACGTTGTACTCTTGTCTACATGCCTAATAATATCCATAAAACGTTGTACACTTGTCTACATGCCTAATAACATCCATAAAACGTACACTTGTCTATATACCTAATAATATCCATAAACCGTTGTACACTTATCTACATGCCTAATAATATCCATAAAACGTTGTACACTTGTCTATGCACTTAATAATATCCATAAAACGTTGTACAGTTGTCTATATACCTGATAATATCCATAAAACGTTGTACACTTGTCTACACGCCTAATAACATCCATAAAACGTACACTTGTCTATATACCTAATAATATCCATAAAACGTTGTACACTTGTCTACATGCCTAATAATATCCATATAACGTA